TGTGTGTATGAACAGGCGCGAAGTATATTACTTGTTCTACATGTGTAGATTTATATGAGCGTGGCAATGCGATACCTAAAACTGAATTGTGTGGCAAAGTACACATGCGCCGATGGTTTAATTATTCACAGTGGAGATATTGAAGCATTCACATATATTCAACCAACTTATGGTATATGTATTCACTCGAGCAAAAAAAACCATCAAGCAAAGTAATAGCAATTGCGGAATGGGTCCGAATGTATCAGCCACGGGATATGCATATCTTGCATACGTTTCAATACCCTTGAATGTACCTCTACATGTTTGTGGACGCGAGTATATACGATAGCACGCATGCATAATATACAGGTATGCAAGCCTTATGTACCTCTACATGTTTGTGGACGCGAGTATATACGATAGCACGCATGCATAATATACAGGTATGCAAGCCTTATAACATGCGAAGAAGCGCGGAGACATGGGTGTAGCGTCTAAAACCATGTCGCGATCGAATCCAACTCAAACTAACCACTCAGGAGGTGCGCATGACTGCCTGAAATGATATACAGACAATGAGTTTGCAAGCATATTTGCGTTGCTATATGTAAACAGGAAGACATATACGTAAGATTGCTACCTGTGAAATGAGATTCAATACGCTAGTAAAACGCACCCTGACTGTACATTTTCCAAATGCGTGCATATGTATACAAGTATACACGCAACGCATACGCCTATCTGAGCCGTTGCTTAGTTTCCCAATTACAACTCCAAGATACTAGACGATGATTATGATAGAAACATACCGGCCTTTCCTTCATGTGCATGTGAGAAAAAATGCACCTTAACAAGATCTACCTACCTATATCGGTCTCCTTCTCATTGCCAAAGATATCTGTTCGGAACTGAGCCATGTGTTTCAGTGACGCCTCCATGTTGCTTGCGGACGCGTACACCTCCGGGGCCGTTTGTTTCTCGCGTTGCATGCGGTCTTTCTGGTCCCGCCATCTGGGATCTAGCAGTTCAATTCTGCATGCATATAGAGATGAACATGGTGAATCAGTTACTTATAACATCCGCAAATGTAGAATGATGGCGGTTGGTAGTATAGAGGAATTTATATATTCTGTTTGATCCTGCATGTATGGAGATATGATATAAAAAACCCGAATACGAGTGTGTAGTAATATTGTAATGAGAAAAATTGTTGTATATTCAAATGTACACGTATACCAAGACAAACCGGCATACGAAAATAAGGAATATAATAATAAAAATGAAACAGATTTACAATTCCGCATATAAAAAGACCACAGAAATAAGG